TCTCACACAGGGAATGCTTATGACAGGGCCAGACTCTCCTTCTGGGTCTCACTCTGTGGGTTCCCTAATCTCTCTTCACTCTTAGGAGCCCCAAACGCGGGTAAGGTAAGTACGGGGGGGGGGGGGGGCCTTGGTTCTTCTCTGTCCTCCTGTTGGAAACCCAAGGGCAGACCAGGGAAGGCCACCTCCCAGGAGAGAATTCCAGAACCTTTCACAGAGCGGGAGTGAGCGCCTCCAGGCAATGTCCAACTGCCTTTCCTCGAAAGCACTGCGTTTTGGCATGAGAGGCTCTCATTCGAGGCCACTGTGGTGGCTGTTTGGGAAGAATGACAGCAGACAGGCAGCCTACACTGTAAAGTGGAGTCGCAGCAACTGGGGACAGTTACAGATGGGCAGTGACATCTGGGACTGGAGTGGCCGCGGGTGACATTGCCGAGAGGGTGGAGGGCGGGGCCTGTGGGGAGTTCTCAGTTGCTTTTCTCCTCCCATGATGGTTTGAATTCTTTTACAGCTCAGAAGGGAGTTGCGTTTGGTCGCAGCTTCTGTAACTGCTAACACGAGGCCTTCTGGGGTTTGACGTTAGGCAGAGCAACCCCTGTTGGCGAGCACCACTCTCTACAGGGAGAAAGGTTAGGACATGGACCTGAAGGTGCCTGGCCTGCTGACGCGATTCTGGAGTCTGTAGTGACCCAATCCTGAGGAGCTGAGTCAGGCTGTACTGGGTATGTCCCCTAGCCATAACGAGTTGCGTGGCTCCAGCCTGATGCTTCATTCAGCTCCACTTGCAGAAACAATATGCCAGGGTATCAGAAACATCCCACCCTGGTTCCAGTTAAACTACACACACACACACACACACACACACACACACACACACACACACACATTTGCCCTCTAGTCCCTCTAAATGAGCTCAACCTTCATCTCAATCAAGCGGTCTCAGCCTATTGAGATTGAGTCTGTCAGCCTCTCTCCTTTGTATTTCTTGCATCAAGAGGTTCCAGCAGCCTTATGCCAACTAGATTACCTGTGTGTCAGACTCAATCACTGTGCACTTTAGGAATCCTATAGGCTCCCAGAAGCATTTTTCTGTTTCCTGAGACTCTTGTACCTTTGAGAAACATGTTTTCTGTTGGATGGGCCAAACGTGTGGGTCACTTCCCTGTTTCTGTGATAAAATACCATGACTCAAACCAACTTGAAGAAGAAAGCGTTTGTTTCAGTTTATGGTTCTGGAGGACTGAGTCCAGAATGGCAGGAAAGGAATCCATGCCTGTAGGAGCAGGAAGCCGGCTCATGACATTTTTATTCACACACATGAATCAGAGAGCAAGAAGAAGTGGAGTGTGGCTATAAACCCTCATTCCTATCTTCCAGTGAGTTCCCCAAGCAAGGCTGCCCCTCCCAAAGGTTCCATTCCTCCCCAAATAGTACCTGTGCTGGATGGTTTTATGTCTATTTGACGTAAGCTAAAGACATCTGAGAGGAGGGATCCTCAGCTAAGAAAATGCCATTGTAAGATTCCTTTAGGCAAGCCTTAGGATATTTTCTTAATTCGTGATTGATGTGGGAGGGCCCTGGCCACTACGGGCAGTGCCACCCCTGGGCAGGTGTTCCTGGACTGTGTAAGGAAACATTCTGAGCCATGAGGAGAAAACCAGTAAGCAACACTCCCCCATGGCCTCTGCATCTGCTCCTGCCTCCAGGTTCCTGCCCCGAGTCCCTGTCCTGTCTTCCCTCAGAGATGGGCTTATAAGCTGTGAGGTGAAATAAACCCTTTCCTCCTCAAGTTACTTTTGGTCATGGTGTCATGGAAACCCTAACTAATACAGTGCCCTCAGCTGTGGCCATGGTGGCTGGTTTTGGGCCTCCTCTTATCATAAAATCAAGCACCAGGTGTGGGTCAAAGAGCTTTTACAACCTTGTGGTCAGGCTTAAAGTCACATTACATTTTAAGTTTTACAGCATTTGGTTATAGGACATTACGATGTTAACTTAAGAGCATTTGTGAAAGCCTGCAGTGGACACAGCTGCTTTTCACTGTCTCTGAAAGAATGCAAGGCAGAAAGTAGAGTCCTATAGGGGGACAGTTGAAAATTAAGGGAATACAAGCGGAGGATTAGAAGCCAACCTTTGTCCCCAGTACCTGTCTAGTTGGGAAGCTGGGAGGGAGGAGACAATTGTGAAAAGTTTATCTCTGTACACAGTGACTTCCAGGATGTCTGTTCTTAAGGCAGAAAGTGTTAAAGGTTAACACTGGCTGCCAGCTTGATTTTTATTCACCCAAAATGTGCTTGGGTTTCCAATTTTATATTTCTATATTCCTGGACTTGGACTCCTCAGTCCTCAGTAACCAGAATCCAGGATTACGTGGTCAGCAGCTAACCTAAGGCTGCACATTGAAAATATCTAGGTCCAGTTCATCCGTTTTGCACTTATCCTTGGCTTCAGATCCCGAGGCCCAAAGAATGACCTAGAGTTGGGAAGATGGCTGAGCAGGTAACAGTACTTGCCCCACAACCCTAATGACCTGAGACTGGATCCCAGGCAGAGACAGGAGAATCTCCAGAAGTCTGAGGCTTGTTAGCCTGGCTTACATTACTGCAGAGAAACCCTGTCTCAAGGAGGAAAGTGAGAACCAAAATATAAAGAGTGTCCTCTGACCTCTGTACATGTACCATGGCACACATATGCCCGCACACACACACGTGTATACACACACACACACATAAAAACAAACACACTTAAATTTTTTTTTAAGTAAGAGCCAGCAGCAGAGGATCTGAGCCCAGGTGCTGACATTGGGTGTTCTCTGTGTCTCACACACCATGCAATCCACATTCCAGGTTTGCATTCAGCAGTGCAGGGTCCCAGTTCACAGGAGGTCCTTAAGGAAGAGTGGAGAGGGAAATTATGGCCATCACTCAGCATCTCAAGCAGGGTCAATAGAAGCTTGTAGAACTTTCCTTTTCTACTGAGGACCTAATGACGAACCCTGACTTGGATTTGTCTTCAGAGAGAACACAGGGGATGTGTCACAGGGCCCTGGTACACTCTGTGAGGGACCAAGAGTTTGTAGACTCAACTTCCTGCTAACCAGCCCTGGACTACTAGGAGATTCAGTGTACTCCAGCTGCCTAAATACAAAAGGAAGGGGTAACCAAGGTCTAGTGCCCCAAGGTAGGAGATCCTGTGCTCCATAGCCCTTGTGGACAAAACCTCCTGCAGACTCTAAGTTTCTGTGCTGCTCAAATTTCTCCTAGAGCACAGCTTTTGCTTTTGTGTTCTCACAAAACACTGTTGGGGGTGCCTTCCTCCCTAAAGACTGTCACCACACACACAGGCACCTTCCATACCCATTCTGAATGCTGATGCGGTTCAACTGAATTTGCCTTCCTCCTGGCTATGGAGGTGATGACACAGAGATCCATTAACTGTTTGGAACTGTAGGACATAAATGTCCCCAGTCACAGTGCAAGAACTGAAACAGTTCTACGTCACACATTTTATTAGTTACTTTTTGTTACTATGATAAAACACTATGACCAAGGTAGCTCATGGAAGGAAGGGTGTATTTGGACTAGTTTAAGAGGGGTAGAGTCCATGATGGCAGAGCAGATGAAGCAGACAGTAGGCATGGTAGCTGGCGCAGACGCTGAGAGCTCCATTTACGACTTTTGGTTATAGGACAATAGAATGTTATCTTAGAGAGTTTGCAAAAGCCTGGGATAGATGCAGCTGCTTTTCACTGTCCCTGAAAGAATGCAAGGCAGAGAGTAGAGCCACATAGGGGGACAGTTAATTATTAAGGAAATGCAAGCAGAGAACCCCATAGAGGCTATTGTTAGAAGCTAACCTTTGTCTCCAGTACTGGCCTAGCTGGGAAGTGGGTCTTGAACTGCAAGAAAACTTGAACAAGAAGGCAAAGTGGAAACGGCACTCTGAAAACCTGCCTCCAAGGACATACACCCTCTAGCAAGGCTATACTTCCTAAGGCTCTGCAAACAGCACCATCAACCAGGAACCAAAGACTAAGAGGAGACATTTGTCTTAAACCACCACATGCCATGTCTCTGTCTCCGGGGTTGAAACAGTGCCTGGTGCTAAGAGACATTTAACCCACTGGTTAGAAACTAGACAATTACTTCTGCCTCTTACTGGGATTCTCTGTCTAGGCTGTGTCCCCCTTCTTGACCACAGAAATGAATGCACTCCCCTCTAGTTCGGAAGAGTTCTATAGACTCAGCCCTTTCACCACACTGCATGTTCCTGGAATACAAATTCAAGGACATGGAGAGCCTTTTGTTTTTTCATAGCTGGTCAGCTGAGAACGATTGAAATCACCTCCAACTTAGCTTCAGAGTCTTAGAGGGCAAAGGATTCTTACACAGGTAATGATAGGCCCAAGTGCTGTGCTTGTCGGGTATTTATCCCTGTAATAAAACACTGAGAGAATCAACTTAACGGAGCAAAGACTCAATTTTGGATCACATACCCTTTGGTGACAGAGAAAAAAAGAGGAGGAGGAGGAAGGCAAGAGAGGAACGAGAAGAGAGAAGGAACACAGTGGGACACAAGAGTGAGAGATGATTTTTTTTCCTAGGCATAGCTTTAACTCTGAGAGATGACAATTTCTGGAGATCAGTAATACAAACTTAGCTGTTGTAAAGGATAAGGGTGTTGGAGAGATGGCTCAATAGGTAAGGGCACTAGTTACTCTTGCAGATGACTCTGGTTAGTGCCCAGTACCCACATGGCAGCTCACAACCATCTATACCTCCAGTTCCAAGAGATTCAAGTCCTCTTCTGATCTCTGAGGGCTCCTACACACATAAACTCATGTAGGCATGTACACATAATAATAAAATGAAAGGCTAAGAAGGCTACCTTTATGTGTTTTTAGCCTTAATTATAATGCATGAAGACAATCCCATAGATAAAAGTCCCACCGCTGAAGTCAAGTGAGGCGAAGGTGGAGGTGAGATTCTTGGTAGATGGAACCGAGGTGATGATAGAGGCGCAGGTTTGTCATATGAAGCTGATGGGCAGAGGTGGAGGCTGGCTTTGGTGCTACAGAGCGCTGTGTGTTCTGCAGTATATAGCTATTATACTCAGCCCGGGACTGAGACAACACTTGAGTCTTCAGGAATAAGCCTGACTGAAGGTCCCTGTCATTTGGTCTCTCTGATTTGGGAGGTCTGCTGCAGGTGTGAACAGACTGTGTCCTCTGTCTCCTTGGGTGTGACAACACAGAAAGTCTCAGGAACATTTTTGCAGTAAGAGCAAAGTAGAGAAGCGTTTGTTCTGGCTCACAGTCGACCATGGTGGGGAGTCCTGGTGGCAGGAGAGTGAGGACAGTTACATTTGCAGTTGGGATTAAGAGGGAGATGAATGCTGGTGCCCAGCACACTTTCTCTGTTTTCTTCAGTTCAGGACTCTAGACCATGGAATGATGCCACCCACTCCCAGGGTGGGTCCTCTTATTTTGATTAACCAATCTGGAAAACCCCTCAAACACATGTCCAGAGATTTGTCTCCTAGGTGAATCTAGATCTTCTCAGTTTGGCATTCAATACTAACCATATTGTAATGGCCAACACAACTTCTTTCTCTTCTAGAATAGTGTAGAGGGATGTTCCCATATGCTAGGGCACCCTGAGTTGTGTGGCTCCAGTCTTTGGGCTTCTTGGAAGAGGAAGAAGAGAGGTGGCGTAGAATTCCCACAGCAGCTGGACTGGGGTGACCATCTGCTGTTGGAGTCTTACCTTCCCTTAGTGACTTGAGACCACCCTTACTAGAATGAGTCCAAAGTTCTGTGAAAACCTGATGGGCATTTGGAATGAACATATACTCTGGGCAGTAAACAAGCACTGTGCCTACTCAGGTGGATGGGTGGGGAAACCTTCTAGGAAGCCTTTATCCATCCTCCGACACTGTGAGTCCCGTGTCCTTGTATATACATGTCCTAGGGGACCTTCTCTCTTACCTCGTTTCGCCAAAGTAAACATCCCATTAGTAAAGGAGAAGGTAGGGGTTAGGCACCATGGTGGGCCATACCCACAGCAAGTGGGCAGTGTGACTGCTTTGGAAACAGTATAGAGCCTTGAAATTCAGAGCAGGGGGGGCTTCACTCTGGAGCTCTGTGTTCACAAGGCTTGAGCCAAACTGTACTTCATTTCCCTTTGTAAAATAGTACCTTAAGGTCAGGGATGGTTAGGGAGCACCATGTCTCCCCTTAGCTGTAAACCCTTCTGTGATCTCTCTGATTACCCCATCTCTGGCCTCCGGTTGTCTGCGGCCCCAGGCGAGCAGGACAAGGAGTGCCTCCTGCTTCTCAAGTGACCCTGGAGCTCCAGGGTGCTGACAGCTGTGTAGCACCTACACAGCCTGCCAGCTGCACCTTCAACCTGCCTGGTCCACGGGTCCTCCCATTTCCTGGAAATTGACCTGCCCTTGTCTGCCTACAGGGCGGTTCCATCTACAGGCAGCCCAGTCAGGTAGGTCAGCCTCCACAGGCTTTTGGAAATTGCAGCCAAGCGCTAGGTAGGAGGAGAGCAGTTCCTGGAAGATGCGTCCAGTTGCTACAGGTGAGTGCCAGTGCAGCTAGACTTGTTCCTGCCTAGGGGTAAGGGACGGCACCCCTTCCTCCTCCTAACTGCCAAGCTAAGGCAGAAGGGTGAAGGCTCTCTGCCTACGCCACTTCTTGTGGGATCCTGGTGGGAACAAGAATCCAGAGGGGTGCAGGATGGGAGCTGAGATTTCTCTGAGGGCTTACTTACCTCTTCCTCCATCTCTTCTTATTATCCAGCGGGGAGGGGTTCTGTGTACTCTCCTACCTATAGAGTAGACACCCGGTGAGGACAGGCGGTGGTCAGCAAAGTGGCTTAGTCCCTAGGAACCAGCCTACTGGAGTGGAAGGCCCTAGAACCAGAACATCTGGGAAGGGGTTGTCTGCTCACAGTGAAGCTGAGGGCTTACTAGGGGAGATGATCTTGACAGCACCCAGGCACGCTCTCACAGGCCTGTTTTTACTTTTCTAAGAATACTCGACGTTGCTGAGAGACTTGGGAAGGTAGTAAAGTGAGGAGGAAGATCGCTGTTTTCCTCAGTCCCTGAGTCTTTCAGAGCCTGCCTTTTCTGTCATCCCCTTCTCATTCTCCTGTGAAGAAGCCAGCTCCCCTAGGGAGAGCACTAGGGAGTCACGGCAGGTGTGTGCACGCACGGCAAGCTGAGGAAAGGGAACTGTCCTTGTTGACTTCTTACCGGGCCTCTTTTCTGGTTCTGCCTCACTGTCAGCACTGACTTGAAGAGTCAGTGTCCTGGAGTGTCCGTGGGTGGAGGTGCATGTGCCTATGTGCACCCATGTGAACAAGGGCAGCGTGACATTGTACGGTCACAGCACAACCCCTTACTCTGTGTGACTGATTTCTGTGATCTTCTCACAATGACGTTTCTCAGGACTCGTCCCTGTCCTTGACAAGTGAATGCAAATGGAGCCCATCCCTCATGCAGGGCACTGTCTTTTATTCTAGTTCTTTGGGAAGAATGGTTTCACTATCTCTATACAGTAGGATGGAAATACATTTTCCTGGCTACATAGAGAGGAAGCTGAGAGCTTGCAGTCGCTCTGTCCGACCCACACAAAGACATATATGGTCCTTCCATCCATGGCTTCCCCCAGGAAATGTGATGTTGGAGGAGGGGCTGTGTTACTCCCATCTTGGTGAGCTAAGGATTTGCAGTGTTCTTGGAGTAGCCCTTGTCACGGGCTCATCTGTCCAGAGGCAGATTTGTTCTCACTGGGCCTGGGAAGCTGCCATGATACTGTCTCTGTGGGGCCTGCTGGTGGGTGCCTTCTCCCTCAACTGGGGTGTTAGCAAGGTGGGTTGTGGCGGCATTTCCTGCCTAAAAGCCTCAATGTATGGGTCGGGGGAGGCAGTGGGCACCAAAGCCAGCTGACTACTGAGAGATGACTCCAGCCCCAGCCTTCTTAGCTTCCCAGGTCTAAGAGGCATGGGTGTGGCCAGGCACTTAGATGCACGTGGGCAAGCACCAGGGACAAACAGCTTGTCCTTCCTCAGATTGGAGAAAACCCATTAGCAGGACCAAAGCGCTCCCTGCAAGTGTGTCTGTTTCAAATCACTTTCTTTCAAAAGACACAGTCATGTTGGGCCAGAGTTCTTCCAGATGACCTCATTTTAATTTACCTGTTTCTTTAAAGATTCTGTCATTGGGCTGGGTGGCAGTGGTGGCGCACGCCTTTAATCCTAGCACTCGGGAGGCAGAGGCAGGCTGATCTCTGGGTTCGACGCCAGCCTGGTCTACACATGCTAGTTCCAGGACAGGCTCCAAAGCTACAGAGAAACCCTGTCTCAAAAAAAAAAAAATCTGTCATCAGTCATCAATCACACCCTGCTTCATTTTGAGGTCCTGACAGAACGTCAGCACAGAAATTTGGCTTCCCTGCTTGGTACACCCACAGCAGTTCAGTTCTTCGGGTATCAGTGATTGGCAGCCCCTGAGAATGAAAGAGAGGTGAGCCCTAAGATCCTCCGTGTAGCATTGGCTGGCGACTCTTCAGTGACATGGCCAGATTTCAGAGGCCCTGAGCGTCTCATAGTAAGGATGAGGCTGGAACATACATGTGCACACATATGCACATGCACTCACATTTGCACAGAGCTCTTATCTCTGAGGACAAAGTACACTGATACCAACTTATAGCCTCCTGGTGCCAAGTGCTGGCCTTTACCCCCGGGCTTCTCTGTGTTGCAAATGAACTAAAGGTGCTTATTCAAGTTGATGACTTTATTACCATATGAGAAAAGGCTGGGCCCTGATTTCAGAACCACAGTCAAGCTCCTGAACTCCGTAAGGGACAGAGACATGGAGAGAGAGAGAGGAGAATTTCAAAGCCTGTCCCTTTTGACATACTTCCTCCAGCAAAGTTCCCCTCCAAAGTTTGTATAACCTTCCCAAACAGCACCAGTAGCTGGGGACACAGTGTTACTACATATAACACATGTGTGAGACTTGGCTCACTCAGATCACGTGTTTCATCTTCATGGGCCCAAGAGCTGTCCTGACCACTGTCCTTAGCTGTCGAGCTCACAGTGAGAGAACCTCTCTTTGGGGCTTTGAGCAGGGAGGAAATACTCTGGCAAGTCAGGGATTCCTCTGTACTTGTAATTGACAACCTATAGTTTGTGGTCTCCCCCAGCTTCCACAGCCCCTTTCCTGCCTAGCTCTGTCTTTTCTTCAGTGTTCCTTCTTCTATACCCCCTTTCTCTTTTCATTTCCATGGCTGAACCAGGCTTGTGGCACCAAGGAGGAGGGTGATGTCTTCCATATCTGTAGTTCCTTGTGGTCAGGTGATTTTGATAGCAACCCAGAATACTAAGGTCTTTGGGGACCTCCTACCATCAGGATCCTTGGGTGTCTCTCAGGTCTCTCTGAGACTCTAAGACAGGTGAGGAACTTTATGAGAGTCACCTGTCATCTGCTGCATATGCTCAGTGTCCCTTGATGTAATTTTAAACAGAAAAAATGCCATGATTGAGAAATAAACAACAGCAAAACGAAGACCACCCTCTGGAGGTTCTATTCCCACCCCAGGAGCAAGTTCAAGGCTGAGCCTGTCTCTCAAAGGCCCTGAGTGGTGTCTGTTGCTCAGACCCACACGGGACTAATCACCACACATTCTACTGACCTGTGAGGAGACTCAGATCCAGGGCAACATCGGTATAGCTGCCTACTTACTCTAGAAAACACTCCTTGTCCGTGGTTCTTGCCTTTTACTGCAGAGCCCATGGGACCATCACGTGCTCACTTTCTCCCACCAGAACTGCCTCCCAGAAGTCTGGGTACCAGAAATGGGTGGGGATGATAGGCTGTGGAGGGAAGAGAATGCCCAGCTGTCCATGGTGATAGGTTGTCACTCTTGGAACTCCTGTCATCTCTCTCCAGGTATTTTCAAGGCTCTAGTGTTTATTTTCTCCTCCCTGTGCGCCTGGTATTCTGGGTACTTGCTTGCAGAGCTCATTCCTGAGGTGCCCCTGTCCAACACCCTCTACAGTATCCGGAGCATTGGAGAGAGACCTGTCCTCAAAGGTGAGTGCTAAAGAAATGGGGTGGGGGGGGAGGGCGTGGGTAGAGAGACGGCTCAGCATTTAAAGCACTTGACAAACAAGTGCAGGTCAGAGTTTGAATTCCTAGAAGCCATGTAAATGCTGGGTGGGTGTGGCATCTGCAGAGATGAGAATCTCAAGAGCAAATTGGCCTATGGAGACTAGCCACATTTCTATCTTCAGAATTTGATTGAGTGACTCTGCCACAATAAAGAAAAAAGAAGAATGATTAAGGCAGATGATTATAGACATCACTAACTTCAGCTTTTCATACCATGTGTACACACACGCCCACACACGTGTGGGCTCAACACACGCGCATACACACACACACACATAGGCTCACCACACACACACACACACACACACACACACACACGGGCTCACCACACACACACACACACACACGTGGGCTTCTAAGACACTTTCTTCTGGAAGACAAGGCTGTTTACAAGTCACAGTTCAGGATGAAGAAGCTGGAACAAGGCTGAGCCAAGAAACAAATGACAGTTGGGAAAATTGGTCAGGGATAGCCGAGAAGCACCTCCCATGTAAAGACTGAGTCAGGTATATCACCGAGTGCTGTGAGCAGGTATGCTCAGACCATAGATAACTAGTCTATTAATGATCTGGGTCAGAATGCCAGAGCCTGGGAGCCTGGGACAGACGTGCAGGGTCCATAGTGGGAGGCAAGGCTGCGGTCCAGGTGCACCTGCTGGCAGCCTGCTTTCCAGTTTGCTGATGTCACCCCACTGAATCATGGTGCTATTTCCCAATGTCTGTTTTATTTACAACACTCACGCCAGGAAAAAAGTGTGTTATCTTGGAAGGAAATTATCAAAATCGTCAAAAAAGAGTGTTGTCAAAATCCATTCATGAACTCGGCAGGCAGTTATTAAAGCTGTCTCTCTGAGCACACCGGCCTTCACGGCTCTCCTTTCACTTCTGGCTGTGAGAGTCTGCGGAGGAAGGAAGTCAAACCGCAGCAATTGTCTTAGGGGGTTTCTCTTGCTGTGAAGAGACACCATGACCACAGCAATACTTATAAAGAAAACATTTAATTGGGGTGGCTCACTTACAGTTTCAGAGGTTCAGTCCATTACCATCATGACTGGAAACATGACGTGGTCCTGGAGCAGGCAACAGGAAGTTAACCTACTGTCACCTGAGTGAAACTTGAGCAAAAGATCTTCGATTTCACCCTTATAGTGCCACACTTCCTCCAGTGAGACCACATCCTCTAATAGTGCCACTCCCTTTGGGGGCATTTTTTTTTAAACCACCACAGCATTTAAGAACAAAGAAGCTTTAAGAGGAATGAATGCCATCCAAAATGATTCTGGGTACCCAGTGGGACACAGGGCAGCTAAGTGTCCCCCCTTAAAAATTTCAGTGGATGTAGATGCTGTTTGGATTTTGTTTTGTTTTGAGACAAGCCCTCTCTAAGGTGCCCAGGCTTGGGAAGATACATGTGTGTGCTGTTATATCTGGAAGGCCGTGTATTTTTAACATGGAAAGAAAGCCTAAAAATTAATTTGCACAAAACTAGATAATGATTAAAAAGAATCGTTGGTGCTGTTTCTGATCAATTGGTTTATTTTTGTCTAGGGCTGTACTGCTCTGAATATACCTGGTCTTGTCTGGTTGCAGAAGTTAAGCAGAGTCAGGCCTTGGATATTACTCAGAGGGGAAAAAAATACATTTTTTTAACCAAAAAAAAAAAGCAAAAGGGCCTTCATTGGCCTTGGCTCTGACTAGGCATTTTGGTTTTCAGTACAATTTTTGTATGGCCTTTGCCTGTGCCTCACCTAATTCCCGGGTACATGTTGTGGAGGGAGCCGCACAGGCAGAGGTCATGGAGTAACCTCAGAAGCTTGTTGTCTCCTTCATTTCCTTCTGCTTTTACGTGTACTTTCAAGCCTGCCTTGCAGATGTGGCCTGGCAAGCAAGCCTTGACCAAAGGCTTCTTAGCAGAGTGATTTTAGCTTCTGCCATCCCATGGGGGTGTGCTGGAGACATTAGTAACCCAAATATTATGGTTGTAGTCACGATGGCTGTGTGCTGGCCTGTTCCTGCTGTGGAGCCTCCCCTAGGGAGAGAAACCTGAATACATGGGGGTCTTCTGGGTACAGATTTTGGGAGGTAAATCATGCTGGTATTAGCGCAGGCAAAGCTGGTATAGGGTAAGCATAGCTGATGCTGCCAGGCCTTGTAGCTAGGTCAGTGGTAGTGTTCCCAGCATTCCTCGTGGGCACATTTCAGGAAATGACCTCACCGTTTCCATGACCCTCCTAGGGCCCCTTAATTTTCCTCTTGTACAGGCAGGAAAGGGATCAAAGATGGAGTTGAGGTCTTTGGACCTGCATGGATTCTGTAGGTTCTCACCCATCACTCAGGCAGGTTACTCAGCCTCCATGTACAGGGATGACCAGCAGGAATGACCTCACCTAGTGGGACCAGAATTGAGAAGTATGGAAACAAGGCATTGAAGAGAAGGTCACAGAAACACTAGTTCTGTACTCTGGCTAGAAACAGCATCTTTGGAAGGCCCTGGTGAAGGTCCCTTGTACTTGTTCTTGATGACAGATGAATTTGGTGTTTATTAACCAGCCTCCTCTTTTTTTTTAATTAATTAATTAATTAATTAATTTACTAAAGATTTCTGCCTCCTCCCCGCAACCGTCTCCCATATCCCTCCCCCTCCCCCAGTTAACTCCCCCTCCCTCATCAGCCGAAGAGCAGACTGGGTTCCCTGCCCTGTGGGGAATCCAAGGACCTCCCACTTCCTTTCAGGTCTAGTAAGGTGAACATCCAAACAGCCTAGGCTCCCACAAAGCCAGTACGTGCAGTAGGATCAAAACCCAGTGCCATTGTTCTTGACTTCTCAGCAGTCCTCATTGTCCACTATGATCAGCGAGTCTGGTTTTATCCCATGCTTATTTAGACCCAGTCCAGCTGGCCTTAGTGAGTTCCCAAAAGAACATCCCCATTGTCTCAGTGTGAGGGTGCACCCCTCGCGGTCCTGAGTTCCTTGCTCGTGCTCTCTCTCCTTCTGCTCCTGATTTGGACCTTGGGGTTGTAGTCCGGTGCTCCAATGTGGGACTCTGTCTCTGTCTCTTTTCATCGCCTGATGAAGGTTA